CAGCAGACCTCCCTGTCTCTCTGCTGCTCCCCTCACCAGTGCATTTCAGTCAATCTGCCTGTTCAGCTCTCCAACTTGTCTTGGTGAAGCCTTTCACTGCACCTGTACCCCAGTTCTGAATGCATAAATAAGTCAATCTTTAAAGAAAAAAGAGAGAGAGAGAAAACAGCCAAAGACGGTGAAAAAAATTCAGATCTGAGGAATCAGAATGGAGCTGTCACTGCTCCAAATCAAGTCAAAAGGAAGAAAAAGTTTTGATGGGGAAAGAACTGTTTGTGATTCAGGAAGACCAGTTTGTCTATCACCCAGAAATGGAAATATACTGAACCTCTGGAAAAGGCTGAAGCTAGCGATTTCCCTTTGGTAGGACCTTCAAAGGTTGCCTGGTACCTACTCTTTCTTTTCTCCTGGAACATTCTTCCTCACCTCTGCTTGACAAAAACCTGCTGTTAATCACTATTTGTTGAAATGCAGGGTGAAAGAAACAAATAGGTTAAAACTCACCTAAGACAGAGAGCTCAGGGCACTTAGGCATTATTTTGGGCAGGAATGGATGTAGGCTGGGGCAGCAGCTGTGAGCACTCACCATTCCAAGGTGGAGGTTTCCAGTGGGCTGTTTCCTTGGTAGGGAACATGACAGCTCCCCCAAACTGCTCTGCCCATTCCACATCTGGCTGCCATTGCCGAGCACCTCTGGGGAATTGAAACAGATAGCAGGCACAGGTTCTTAACAGCGCTTGATTCCTCTGTTCCCATTCACTCAGAGGGCCCAGAGAAAGGGTTCTTGCATTCCTCAACCCCAAATCACTGGTAAGAGTTTGCTTAGCTTTGTCAGAACAAGGGGTTCCATTCCTACTAACAAACTATGGCAGAATCACTTCACCTGTCACCTGTCTGCAGGTTGTGGAGCCTAACTCCTACATGGTCTTCTCATTTTTATATTCCCATTCTGATGAATAAAAATTCGAGCAAGGTGTTTACTCAAGGTCAACAGGAAACTAAGAAGAGAAGAGGAAGACACAGATACCCACATGCTGGCTGCAGGTTTCAGCTTAAGCATGGCCAGATTGAGGCAATGGGGACACCTGGCATCTTGTTTTTTTCTCTTCCATAAACTCCACCATCAGGGGTGCTTCCACTGATGGCAGGCACCCCATGACCGAAGGCGGGAGCAGCAGCAGAGCATAAAGCAAAGGTGACACTATCACTAGTAGTGAAAGGCAAGGTACCTCCATTTCACTCCCGGCAGAATGAGTTCAAGGTTCTCCATCCCCCCCCTCGGTCAGAGCAGGTGTCCTTACAACCCTAGAGCCGGAGAGTGCAGGCCTGGGGGAGGGGGTCGCAGGTCGGTGTCATCTTTTCTACGGGCATAAAGCCCGTGTGTTCCCGCATTCGAGAGACCCTACATTGAGGCGGGCACGCCGGAGACGCCTAGGGTCTCACCTGCAGGGTTGGGTCGGCAGTCGGAGCCCCGCCGCGGGTCGCAGCGCCCGGGACGCGCCACCCCGCAGCCCACACAGCGCCCTCAGCGCCGCCATCTTGCCCGCTGCGAGCTGTGGAAGGAGAGCCGGGCGGAAGTGGCGCCGCGCCGCCTTGCAGGCTTCTCTCCCGTCAGCGCCGCGTGGCCGCCATCTTGGAAGCGGGCAGGGCTACGACCTGACGACATCCGGGTCTCAGAACGGCTCTGGCTCCGGCTCCGCCCAGACTCGCGTTTCCAGGGTCAAAGGAGGAGCTTGCAGCACCACGGGGTCTGCCCTGCGCTCTGTTCCCATCACCAGCCCGGGTGCTGCCTTCCCAGCCCTCTGCTTGGCTGCCCTCTGGGATTGCCCCAATTCTGCCTTGCACCACTAGCTACCTCTTACCCCATTCCAGAAATTTCGGAGGGGAGCAAAGCCAGCTAATTTCCAGATGCCCTAAATGAATTAGGGAAATGGACCCCAGTGAGACTGGGCGGGTCTGAGTGCTCCCGCCCAGCCCAAAGGAGAAAGAGCCTGATGCCAAGGCCACCAGCTTGGGAGCACGCCATCATGTGGGTAGGGGCCACGGCATCGCACATGAGAAAGGGAGGCGTCTATGGAAGATCACCTAACTGCCGGGCTTCCGAAACATACACCTCCAAATTGCACATCCCTCTTCCATCCCGGCTCAGTTTCTTTCGGTTCAGGATGAACCGGACTTGACCTAGGGCAGCCATCGACAACATGGAAACGCAGTAGTACCAGAATCAGCACCCTGTCTGTTGGGAAGAGACAGGAAGAGTTTTGCAGCCTCTCCCTTGGCTTCCAGGCGCAGCTCCAGCTGGGCCACCCTGGAGTTTGCCCCTCCCTCCCATTCTGAGCCTAGAAAGAGGCCTTCCGCACAACTCCCCCAGACAGGGTCTCTGGAACACAGCCCACCAGCAATGCCGCAGGGTGGGGCAGACAGTGAATTCATCGCTGTAGAGAGAGAAGAAGGCCAAACTTGAGTCTAGGAGTTGACCTAATGGGAGCCTTACCAAAGGGTGGGGCCCTATCCCTGCCTTTGGGGATAGGGCTGGGCCTGGGCAGACTAAGCAGTCCTCATCCAGCCAGAGGCTCTGCCTTGGTTACCTACCCCCTTTGTCACCCACCTTCTCTCTGGGCCTTCTCTCCCTCCATAGTTGGAACATAACGGGGAGGGGGGCATGCAATGGACTGCCTGGCAGACTAGGTTAGGGCCTGGATTTGCCCTAATCTAGCTTGGAAGAAGTTGGGGTAGACACTTGGCTGCTTGGCCCTGGGGGCAGCTTGAGCTGGCACTGACTCCTGGGTGCTGCCTGGGACACTGCAGCTTTTGTTATTTCTCCCTGCTACCACATACCCTCTGCTAGGACTCTAAGGTCCTTTGTCTCTCACTAATTAGTCACCCCCTTTGTCCTCATCTCAGATTGGGGGTGGGAAGGGGCAGTGAGCGACCTCTGGTGATGGCTCCTCTTGCCCCTGCCTTTTCTAATCTTCCATCCTTTGTCTGACTGCTTCTGTCCAGCCCCCCTTAACTTAAGGCCAGGGTCAGGGCATGTGGTGGGCCCAAATGTAGGGCACCCTCAGAGGGTGGGCCAGAGGGGGTGATAAGGCAAGTACCAGTGACCTGAGGAGGAAGGGTGGGGAAGGGAAGTATCTGGGCGGATATGACATGGGGGACAGGAGGTGACAACGCAGAGCGAGAGAAATGGGGCAGGGGCAGGTGGTCCACCCCTGGAGAGGAAAGGGAGAGCTGACAGAACTCTCCTTCCTGGGGATATCCTGGGGAAGTGAGTTGCCATAGCATGGGCTAAGCAGGCTTTGCCCCTAATTGTGAGCCCTCTCCTTCCTTGCCTCAAGCATCCACCCCCAAGACGTCTGAGTTCTCTCCAGTTCAGAATCAGGGAGTCATCTTGCTTCTTTTCCCTAACCACTATCTCTCATTTCCACACACTGGACTCTTGTTTCCCACAGCACCCTAATTGTCCTACACACAATGAGGCTGCCACCCTTTCCCTGTCCCAGAGGGAATGAGAAATAAAAAAATTGCTAGATATTTCATGAACATGAGCTCTCAGGGCCAGGTGGGGTCAGAAGAGGGAGCCAGGTGAGGATTTCCTCAAGTGATACAGGATGCCTCCAGGTTCCAGAGACAGCAAGTCTGTCCCTGTATTGGGGCCTGGCCTGCTGACTCGGGGTTGGGGATGGTTCTAAGGCAGCCGGAATGGGATCTGGGCCAAGAGCTTGGGGGAAGCTGCTGGAATCTGGGCCAGGGAAGTGGGGAGTCAGGAAGTGGGAGGGGGAGCCCTGGGGGGAATGGAGGCGGAATGATTGTTCCCGGGTTTAGAGGGGGTGGATGGTGCAGCTCGACTCAGGAAGCCCACGGGGGAGAAGGACTGTTAGAAAAGAGGAGGTTCTACCTGGGACCCTCCTTCCACAAAAGGGAAAACTTAACCCTCTTCTTGTTACCTACCCCCTTTTCAGCAGCTCAGCTGGCCTTGGGCAGCAAACTCCCTGCCCTCTGCTCTCCAGGCCCATCTCTCTGTCTCTGGCACCCTTCAGCTGCTTGATCACGCCCTGAGCCTTTTACCCTGACCTGTGCTTTCTCAGTTCTGTACTTTTCCAAGGCTTCCTTACCTGTACCTCATGCCCTCTCCTCCCCAACCCCCACCCCCACCCCAGCAGCTTCCTCCCTCCCTCAGCCCTAGAGTCAATTCAAGGGGCACAGGGCAGCCTGAGAGAACCCTGAGAAAAGGAAGCCTGGGTCACTTTGGGTAATGGGTGCCAGAATTCTCCCTTTCTGTGTCGCTGACCAGGCTCTCTCTAATATCCTACTCCTGCGTGGGCTCTCCAAAAAGGGAAGGAGACAGGGGAGAGATCTGGGAAAAGTCTTATCATCAGCTAGCTTGTGCCTGGGATGCATCCGGCTAGAGATTCCCCACCCCTGCGCTAGAGATTCCCCACCCCTGGGTACGTCCTCTTTTATTTTTTTTAAAGGAAAACCAAAAATGAAATTTTGGGAAGCATGAGACATACATATGAGTTCTACAGAGCGCCCGGTGAATGGCTTTATAGTTTCAGCCAATAGCAGAGGTTTGACGCGCTTTATAAAAGAGCTGGCACAGAGAGAGGCTAGGGAGACCCACAGACCCATAGACTCAGGGAGAGGAGGAGATAGACAGACAAAGAGACAGTGGAAAGAGGCAGAGCCAGGGCAGCCACGAGGCAAAGCCAGACAGAGTCTAGCACAGAGGGGGTGGCCAGTAGCAACAGGGAGAGACAAAGACCCAAGAAAGGGGTGGGAGGAGAGTTTAGAGGATCAGACCACCAGGCACTGCTCCGAAGTCTAAGGGCCAGGCTTTCTCCCTCTTCCTGAAGGTTCCAGCCCCTCTGAACACTGCCACTGACCCTGGCAGGGGTCTGAACCCCTGGACCACAGAGAGGAGTTTTCCAAAGCTGGGTTGCTGGTGGGGTGTGGGTGCCCAGACAGCCTGAGAGCCTCCGAGAGGCAGCGCCAGGGCCATGCATCCCAGGAGGGGCAGGGTAGGCTGCCAGCCCCAGCCAAAGGGAACCCACTTCCCCCCGTTGTTCCCCATTGTGCCAGTCCCAGTTTCCCGCTGGCTGCTCCTGCTGCTGCTACCATCCCTTCTGCCCTCTGCACGGCTGGCCAACTCCCTGCCCTGGGAAGAGGAGATCGTGTTTCCAGAGAGGCTCAACGGCAGCATCCTGCCAGGTTGGAGCTCCCCGGCCAGGCTGATGTACCGCCTCCCAGCCTTTGGGGAGATGCTGCTCCTTGAACTGGAGCAGGACCCTGGGGTTCAGGTTGAGGGGCTGACGGTGCAGTACCTGGGTCGTTCACCCGAGCTGCTGGGCGGGGCTGAGCCAGGCACCTACCTCACCGGCACCATCAACGGAGATCCTGAATCGGTGGCCTCTCTGCACTGGGACGCGGGAGCCCTGTTAGGGGTGCTGCAGTATCGGGGGGCTGAACTGCACCTCCAGCCCTTGGAGGGAGGCACCCCTAACTCTGCTGGAGGTCCTGAGGCTCACATCCTTCGCCGGAAAAGTCCTGCCAGCGACCAGGGTCCCATGTGCAACGTCAAGGCTCCTCCTGGGAGCCCCAGCCCCAGCCCACGAAGGGCCAAGGTAGGCAACCCCAGAATCTGCATCCTCCCGGGTCCTCTGCCATGCTCATGTCTGTCCCACTGACCCCTATTCACCTTCTCTCCACCCACTTCCACTTTTGGCTCTTCTGCTGCCCTCCCTTCTGCCTGCCTTTCCTCTTTCCACCAGCCTCCTTTCCTGGGGAGGCTCTGGCTTCTCCCTACCCCAGCCCTTCGCCCAGCCAGATCATGTATCACAAAGAGGGTTCCCAGATGTAGGTCAGATACTCTGCTTTATGCTCTCCACCCTGCCCCTGCCTGGCTAGGGCACCTCTGCTGGCCCAGCCCTTAGCAATAAGGCTCTGCTAACAGCCCCTTGGCCTTGACTCTATTGTAGCCCAAATCTGATTTATAATTTCCACACCCCCTCCCCCTCATACTCACATACACACATCAGCTAAAGGAGTGTGGTTTGAGGCCAGAGGGATTGACCTCTCACTTCTGGAGCTGCCTTCAGAAAACTGTTACAGAAAACGGCAAAGGAGGACAGCATCCACCCCTCATACTCAGTCCCCTTCCCTCTGTGGGGTAACTGCCAGGCTGCCAGCCCAGGCTCCATCCTTCCTTCCTGCCTGTCCCTCTCCCCTGCTTCTCCCCTCCCTTCTTTTCTTTCTTCCCTCCTCCCCTCCCCCACTCAGTCTCCAGCTTTAATCCAGACCAGATCTCCACACCCGCCACGCTGAGAACTGGCCCTGGCCCTAACTGCTGACTGAACTGTTCCTTCAACCACACAGAGCAGACACGTTGCAGCCTGGCGCTCTCGCCCCAGTCCTGTGAGCCCCAGTCACACTTAGGCCTGGAGACCCCCTCACCCTCTCTCAGAGACCATCTCGGACACTTTTCACTTTTGGGGCCCCTGCAGCTAGGACAGGGCATCTCCTTCGCCTCTCCTCAGAGCCAGCAACTGATTTCTCAGAGTTACCACAAAACCCCTGAGATCTGGGCTTGGAACAGGGCCTAGCCCAGACCCAGCAGGAATCCCACCCCTTGGGGTCTGTGCTCCCCAGCTGCCGCACTGAGTTCCAGGCCCAGAAAGAAAGGAAGAGAGGAGACAGCTGCTCCTGTGTCTGGGAGGATGTTTCAGGACGCTCTTCTCTTTCTTCCCCAGCGCTTTGCCTCACTGAGTAGGTTTGTGGAGACCCTGGTGGTGGCAGATGACAAGATGGCGGCGTTTCATGGCGCGGGTCTAAAGCGCTACCTGCTGACAGTCATGGCAGCAGCAGCCAAGGCCTTCAAGCACCCAAGCATTCGGAACCCTGTCAACTTGGTGGTGACTCGGCTGGTGATTCTGGGCCCAGGAGAAGAAGGCCCCCAAGTGGGGCCCAGTGCCGCCCAGACCCTGCGCAGCTTCTGTGCCTGGCAACGGGGACTCAACCGCCCGGAGGACACGGACCCTGAGCACTTTGACACTGCCATCCTCTTCACGCGGCAGGTGAGGCCCCATCAGCGCCACGGGCCGGCACTGCGCAGCCACGCGGAAGCACAGCTGCCGAGACTGAGGTGCTGGAGTTGTGCCGGGCCACACAGCCACTGCTCTCTGGGCCGTCAGTGCGCAGACCCCCACTCACCTGGCGCCCAGCCCAGTGGGCCCTGAGGCCCTAGCTCATGCGTCTTCTGTGGTCCCTCTCCACAGGACCTGTGTGGGGTCTCCACTTGTGACACGCTGGGCATGGCTGACGTGGGTACCGTGTGCGACCCGGCTAGGAGTTGTGCGATTGTGGAAGATGACGGGCTCCAGTCGGCCTTCACTGCTGCCCATGAGCTAGGTGAGGTGGGATATCTGGGATGGATGAGAGGAAAATCAGGGTGTGATGACGGGACAGACAGGGAGCTCACTGGGTGCTCCATGTGCCCCGGCCAAGCGTCCTCATCCTTCTCTACTCTGGGGGTAGACAAACATTTAGATTTTTCTATTAAATGAATAATGCCTGGAGACCTGCTCTGTGTGTGTGTATCTGGAGTGGGTTGGCACTGTACTAAGAGGGGTATGGTTCATAAGAATTATTGATGAGATTTATAAGTTCAGGTATGAGATGTGTAAGGGTCAGGAGTGTTGACTATAAGGAAAACTGGATAGGCAGGAGACCTGGGTATATTTTGGGGGAGGGAAGATGCTGATGTGGCTACCTAGCGAGTGGCCTCACAGTCCCCAAAGGTGGGGGCAGGGAAAGATGGAAATGGATCTGACAGTCCACAGCAGCAACCATGTTTAGAGTGTAGACCCCTGCGGGCACAGGGAGGGCAACCTCAGAAGCTAGCAGGGCCTCTGCTCCTACAGGCCATGTCTTCAACATGCTCCATGACAACTCAAAGCCATGTGCCAGTCTGAATGGGCCTGGGAGCACCTCCCACCATGTCATGGCTCCTGTGATGGCTCACGTGGACCCCGAGGAACCCTGGTCCCCATGCAGCGCTCGCTTTATCACTGACTTCCTGGACAACGGCTATGGTAAGTAGGTGCACCCCCCCCATAAAGGGACTCGGTTCTATCCCCACCTTGTTTAATTTTGCCACATTCCACACAGCTCAGAGAGCTATTCCTCCAGTGTCCTTCCTCTGCAGCGTGGGCTAAGTGCGACGGTTGGTGCTTGTATGGCCCCACTTATTCCTGGAACCAATAGCAAGCACAGAGAGGCAGATTGTGGCTCACTAGAAAGAGAACTGGCCAGGCCCTCCCGAGTGGTGCACCAGGTTAAAGAGCAGCACTGCAAGCGAGTTGCAGCCACTTCAGTGCGAGTTTGAGTTTGATCCTCAGCCCCAAAGCTGCCCCACATGGTGCAGCAGCCCTCTCCTGACCCGCCTGCTGCTCCCCTCAGCAGTGTACTTCATCAGTTGGCCTGCTCCCCACTCTGTCTCTGGTGCATCCTCTTACCACCTCTGCGCTTCTAGCCTGTACCCCAGGTCTATATGAATGAATAAATAAGTCTAATAAAAAGAAAATTGCCACCATTTGTAAACACCAACTCATTAATGTCAAAAAATAAAAAAGAGAAATAGAACTGGCCTTCAAAGTGTCAGGATGACCAGTGCTAGGCATGTTGCTGTACAAAGCAGACTCAGAAACAACATCTGTAGTTGGTGAGAATTGTGCTTAAGGTTGCTGTGCTGGTGCTGTTCTTCCAACGTGTGGACCTCTGTGGCTCTGAGCTGGTCATTTCACCTCTACTTCGCTGGTCTGCAAACTAGGCATGGCAGTGGGCACCACCCCTAGGTGGCGGTAAGATAGCAAGAGATCGTGTTGGTTAAATATTTAGCCAATTCTAATTCAAGCTTCTTCTAGCTGTCGGATTTAGAGCCTCAGTTCCATCTTCCCCAAGGAGGCCCAGGCTTTCTGCTGGTCCCTTAGCTCATGGCTGACTTCATATTTCCTTCCAGGGCACTGTCTTTTAGACAAGCCAGAGGCGCCGCTGCATCTGCCTGCAACTTTCCCTGGCAAGGACTATGATGCTGACCGCCAGTGCCAACTGACTTTTGGGCCTGACTCACACCATTGTCCACAGTTGCCACCGCCCTGTGCTGCCCTCTGGTGCTCTGGCCACCTCAATGGTCATGCCATGTGCCAGACCAAGCACTCTCCTTGGGCTGACGGCACCCCCTGCGGGCCCACACAGGCCTGCATGGGTGGCCGCTGCCTCCACGTGGACCAGCTCCAGGACTTCAATGTGAGCTCTTGGCATGGCTTGGGGGGAGGGACGTTGGGGAGAAGGTTTCAGGGCCTGGCCCTGAGCCCAGGAAGAGTCTGTTAACCCCACCCTTCCATTCTGTGTTTCTGCAGATCCCACAGGCTGGGGGCTGGGGCCCCTGGGGGTCTTGGGGTGGCTGCTCCCGGAGCTGTGGGGGTGGTGTCCAGTTCTCCTCCCGGGACTGCACAAGGCCCATCCCCCGGAATGGTGGCAAGTATTGCGAGGGTCGCCGCACCCGCTTCCGTTCCTGCAATACCCAGGACTGCCCAGCAGGCTCAGGTGAGGAGTGAGAGGGTGTGGGGGAGCAGGGTCTGTCCCTGAGTGCAGAGGACCAAGGGGACTATTGACTATCCCTGCTGTTAAGGGAATGACTTCATCCTTCTGGAACCTTACCTGAAGTCTGTGGGGAAGAAGGGTTCTCTGCTGTCCAGAAGTCTTAAGGGGCTAGGTGGAAGGGCTCGTGGGACACTATGAGGAGGGTGGGATTCTGATGGTCTGCTTCACCCCTGTAGCCTTGACCTTTCGTGAAGAACAGTGTGCTGCCTACAACCATCGTACTGATCTCTTCAAGAGCTTTCCAGGGCCCATGGACTGGATCCCTCGCTACTCGGGCGTGGCTGCCCGGGACCAGTGCAAACTCACCTGCCAGGCACGGGCACTAGGCTATTACTATGTGCTGGAGCCACGGGTAAGAGCACGCCGAAGCTTGTCAGTGCTCAGGCACACCCACTGCTTTCTGGTGGCAGAAAGACCCTCCAGGACAGCACCTTTGCTGGTGCTGGCATTCCCACAGCCCTGCCAATCAGCACCTTTGCTGGTGCTGGCATGCCCACAGCCCTGCCAATCAGCACCTTTGCTGGTGCTGGCATTCCCACAGCCCTGCCAATCAGATAGGGGTATTTGGAAAACCAGCCCCAGACCCTGGCTGCTCCATTCTGCCCAGTTTCCCCTGCTCACTGCTACCACCCCAGGTTTCTTTTCTTCTCTCCCCTCCTTCCAATGCCCCATCCCACAAGAATGAAAGTTTGTGGACTTTGGGCAAGTTTTTGTTTCTCTTTCCCTGGCATCCTTTGTCAAAGTACAGTGGGGGCCTCATTTGGCTCATGGGTGGTCTGTCCCTGTCCCTGCACTCTCTCTGTGTGCCAGTCCTAGTGGAAGGCTTCAGAGGAAGGATAACCCTGCTGGGTCGAGTTCCTTTGTGGCCGCCAGGACAATTCCTGCAGGCTGCCGCCCCCTAGCGTCCATCGGGGGCACTGTCGTCCAGGTTTAGGTGTGGGTATTGAATGGCCGTTGGCTCCTTGTCTCCTCCACTTCACAGCTACCTCACCTTTGAGAAGGCTCCTAATCTTTCTCAACCTCAACGTTTCATCCCTAATCCTCCAGTAGTAGTTGTGAGATTTAGATTCTTGCTAATAGAACACTGCTTCGTAGTGAGTGCTCTGAAATGGCGACTTTGACATTTTGATGATCATTGTCATCCCATACAGTGTTTGGGGCTCACTGCAACCACAATCCGTCCACCCCCCTTCCCCCGCGGCTTTTCTGACACCCATCCCATATAGGAAATGGGAGCCACTCCAGACTTTGGAAGAACCCTGGTATTGCTCTTCTCCTCAGGTGGTAGACGGGACGCCCTGCTCCCCGGACAGCTCCTCCGTCTGTGTCCAGGGCCGCTGCATCCATGCTGGCTGTGACCGTGTCATCGGTTCCAAAAAGAAGTTTGACAAGTGCATGGTGTGCGGTGGGGATGGCTCCAGTTGCAGCAAACAGTCTGGCTCCTTCAGAAAATTCAGGTTCCTCCATGATTCATTTGTTCTTCCTAACTTCCTGGGACTATTTCTGGAGTCTGAGGAGACAGTGAACTCCACACCGTCTCTCCTCTCCAGGAGCTCAGCCTGGGGGGGAGAGAGCCATGAGTGCAGTGACAGCACAGAGTCCCACCTGTCCCACAGGTGTTGGCAAGCAGCTGTGTTAGCAGAGAGGGCTTCCCCAGGAGGTGACTGAGCTGCTTGTGGAGGGAGAGTGGGAGCTGGACAGGCACAGGAGGGGGTCTCTGAAGGGCATCTCAGGAGCTGGTTCTCAAGGTGCAGAGATGAGAGCGTGGAGAGCACCTTGCCTGAAGCTCAGCTCTAGGTGGGACAGCCCACAGAGGTTTGGGGAGACCACATCCAGGCACGTATGTACACACCTACAGTCATAAACACAGCTCAAGGAGATTGAGGGGCTCGAAGAGGCTGAACACCCCTCTGTTTCTTCCACACAGATACGGCTACAACGATGTGGTCACTTTCCCTGCGGGAGCCACCCACATGCTTGTCCGGCACCAGGGCCCCTCTGGTCACCGGAGCCTCTACCTAGCCCTGAAGCTCCCGGATGGCTCCTATGCCCTCAATGGTGAATACACGTTGATGCCCTCCGCCACTGACGTGCTGCTGCCTGGGGGAGTCAGCCTGCGCTACACTGGGGCCACCGCAGCCTCTGAGATGCTGTCAGGCCATGGGCCTCTGACCCAGCCCTTGACCCTGCAGGTCCTAGTGGCCGGTGACACCCAGAAGTCACGCCTCCGGTACAGCTATTTTGTGCCCCGGCCAACCCCCTCACCAGTGGCACGGTCCACTCCCCAGGACTGGCTACAGCGGAAGGCACAGATTCTAGAGGTCCTTCGCCGCCGCCGGCCTTGGGCAGGCAGGAAATGACCTCATCATCCCGGCTGCCCTTTTTGGGCACCGGGCCTTGGACTTGGCTAGGAGAGAGAGGGGGCTCCTGCAGCTGCCTCCACCAGAAACAGTGGGAGAGGCCCTCTTATGGCCCCCCTGTGCAGGCTGGCCCTGTCAGGGATTCCTGCCGTTGGTGGCAGTGATGGATGGTGGATGAAGATAGGAAACAGGCCCTGTGCTAACTGCCCCCTCTGCCCTGCTGGCCACAGGAGGGAGGGGAAGTCAGGGTGGTCACTGTTGTATTTATTTCGTATTTATTCACTTTCATTTAGCACCAGGGAGAGGATGAGGGCAGAGTTGCTGGGGAAACTGACCCCTAGCTCCTCCAAGCCCTCACCTGGTAGGTGGAAGTGATCTGTGGTATGTGTGTGTGTGTGTGTGTGTGTGTGTGTGTGTGTGTTTGACATCCTGCCCTGCTTACCTCTCCCTGAATCTTGTATTCTGGGAAGGGGTAAGCTGGGCCTTCAGGGAGTAAGGGAGTATGATATTTTTAACATATAAATTGAATCCTGCTATTTATGTGCTCCTTTTGGAGTCAGACAGATGTGGGCTGCAGTATAAGTTTCCTCATTTGCCAATAATAGTACCTCCTTGGAAATTGATTAAAGCATTAAATAATGTAAGTAAAGAAGCAACATCATGCCTGGACTTGGCAAGTGCTCTACAAATAGCTACTTTTAATAGTTAATACCACCTCCCCTGCCTGAGGGTCTGCACTGTGCCAGGAGAAGGCAGAGATCCACGCCCTGACTCTCAGGCTTGCTCCTTTGGTTGGAAGAACATGAGCCCCAGAGCTGAAGCAACCGTCAGAGAAAAGACTCTGTCCCTGATCCTAGAGGGCCCCAGTCACGTGATATATAAGAACTACCCGGCTACAAGCACGGGTGACAAGAACACAAAGATGTGGGCCTCTCTGGCGGCACAAGGGTTAGGTGTCAGCACGATGAAGCTAGCTGCAGCCACTGCAGCAGGAGTTCGATCCCCAGCCAGGGAGCTGACTCACATGGTGCAGCAGACCTCTCCTATCTCACCTGCTGCTCCCCTCAGCAGTGTATTTCAGTCAGTCTGCTTGTTCTATTCCCCACTGTCTCTGGTGAATGTTTTCATCCCCCGCACCTCTGGCCTGTACCCCACTTCTTGTATGCATAAATAAATCTTTGGGAAAAAATCTTAAAAAAAAATAAAGATGCAAAAATAGAAGAATGATTTCTTCAACACAGATAAGCACCTGGTGACAAGAGTGCTGAGGAGTCTGGGCGGTAGCTAGTTACCGTAGGAGAGCTCTGGAACCGAGTGAGTGATTTACACTCAAGTTGGTCTTCAGTGTCTTCCTAACTGGCCACATTGGTTTGTCAATGACCATGGACTTGAGCTGTGTCCGCTTTTGCATGCAGGGGCTGTCCCATGGGTGGCTCTGGGAACAAATGTGAAATGATTTTCACAACAGTGAAGGCTGCGTGAGAGGTTCCCTTTAAGATTGCCTAGTAACTAGGGTGGGGTCACAGAATTAACTGATGAAGATCCAGCAGACTTCTCAGAGGATGTGCAGTTAGAAGGAAATTTAGTAAGAGGAACAAAACATGGTTTGGTCGGGTAGAGTCAGAGGGCAAAAAGAATGGCCTGGAGGGGGACCTGGGTGAGGGAGCTGGGCGCCAGTGGTAGCAGAACACTTGGAGGGCAACAGCAAAGAGAAACAACTCTCTTTCCTTCTGAGCAGGCCATGGAGGGATCATGCTGGAAAAGCGAGGCAGGTGACAGCACTGGTAACAGGCCACTAGGGATTGGGGAAAAGACTGGCTGTGGATACATAAACACTCCTTGTGTATAGAGGTGAGGGTGGAGCTATAGGTGAAGAAGTTTCCAAGATGGGGGAACTGGGATGCTTCACTCGGCAGTGCAACTCCTAGCACTGGGCCACCTGACACTGCCTAGGCTAAGGACTGGGGCCCAGGCAGGTTGAGGAGGCTGTATACGTGTGTGTGTTGTGCTCCTGGGGCTGACCAAGTCCTGTGCCAGGCTGGGCCTTGCTCAGTGCCCAGTATATCACCCTCCCCAACAAGGCCCTACTCCCTGCAACCACAGGGACCGTCCATATTGCCCTCCTGTCCAGTCTGTACGGCCCCACTACTAGGCCCCTGCTTCGTCCTTTTACCCTCTAATCAGGCATCCTGGAGAAGGGTGAAGCAGGGGAGCAGAACAAGGCCAGTGATCTCCTCCTATGTCATCTAATTAGTGAAATTGGGCTTCAGGAACATGTTTGCAGACTGGAACACTCTGAGTTCATGGTACAATATGAGAGCTCTGTGCTAAGTAGAAGAGGTACATGCATGCATGACTCATAACTAGAGGGTGTGTTAGTCGCCTCCATAGATAAACAACGGTATGGAGCAAAGAGTTGTGTGACAAAGGTCCAGTCACCTGTGCAGAAATTGAACCTGGGCTTAATGGCTGTAAGGGTCAAGGAGGGTGTAAGGCTCAAGTAGGTCCTGAGGCTTAGGGAATCAAGATAGTCAGCTTCCTTCCTTTAGTGCTCAGGGTGATCCACTCATTGTAAACCACTTCCATACATAATATTTTACTAGCATGCCCTTTATTCAATGAACAGACTTGTGGTTGTCACCAAGAAGTTTCTCCCAGGGCCCTCCCTGGTGGCGCAATAAGTTAGAGCACAGCACTGTGAAGTTACCGCAGCCACTGCAGCATGAATTTGATCCCCAGCGAGGGAGGTGACCATATGGCATGGCAGATCTCTCCTGACCCGCCCCCTGCTCCCCTCCGCAGTGGATTTCAGTGCATCTTCCTGTTCTGCTCCCCACTCTGTCTCTGGTGAATCCTCTCACCCCTGCACCTCTGGCCTATGGCCCAGTTCTGTATGCATAAATAAATCTTTTAAAAAAAAAACAGATGTTTCTCCCAGAGGAACTGAACTTAGTGGTCACTCACTACTTGGAAGGCAAACAGCAAAGGAAGAGAAACAGAAAACAAAAAAAGGAGAAGCGGTGAGCCTCTCTGCCCTCAATCCCACGCGGGGCCTGACTGCCTTCTGGAATGCTTCCTCAAACCATCATTCCCAGGCCCAGGCTGCAGACTCTGCATGCAGTCAGGAGTCCAGCAAGTTCTTGCAAGGTGTGGTGTATATGCACCTCCCTTCAAGAGCCAAGGAGAGGTGTTCCCCCAACTCCATCTACTTCCTCCCTTTATGGGCCTGGGCTGAGGCTTACAACTAGAGAAAAAAGAGGAAGAAGACACCCAGACAGTCCAAAGATCTGATTTTAGAGGGAAAAAGAGGTTCACTGATTAACTAGAGAAAGAACTTCAACTTTCTGGAAGGAGTGCCCCTCTAGGAGAAGTCCAGGGCAATGTGGGCAACAGTCTTAGAGGATGGGTGGCAATGTGTGTTTGTATTTGTGGGTCTTTTCTGGGGGTGTGGGGGGGTGTGAAGTGGTAACTGTGAGTTGAGCTAATTTCTTTAAGTTACTTTTTGTAAGACTTTGAGTCTCTGTGTTCATGGTTAGAGCCTAGGGAATCTAGGAATCTCTCCAACCACTGTGGTGGTGGCAGGAGCCAGGTTTTCTGGGCGTTCTGCAGAATGGGGGAGTCATGTACACTTCTACTCCATCTCTAGCCCCGCTTCTTTAATCTCCACATAGTATTTTTTTTAAGATTTATTTATTTATTCATATAGAACTGGGATACAGGCCAGAGATGCGGAGGGTGAAAGGATTCACCAGAGACAGAGCAGGGGGCAGAACAGGCAGATAGACAAAGTACACTACTGAGGGGAGCAGCGGGCGGGTCAGGAGAGGTCTGCCAAGCCATGTGGATCTCCTCTGGGGCAGCGGGAATCGAACTCATGAGGAAGTGGCTTTAG